TAATTGTGTAGAATTTAATAAAATTAATTTTATATTATAAGATTAGTGTGTGTAGAGTTTAAGTGTGTTTAATTTAACTGTGTAGAGTTAAACAAATTTTATTTTATAATACAAAATAAATTTATGGAGAGTTTAACGGTGAACAATTTAACTGTGTAGAATTTTATGCAATTAATTTTTCATTACAAAATAAATATGTGTAGAATTTAACGATGTGGAATTTAACTGTGTTAAATTTAAGAAAATTAATTTTTTATTACAAAAGAAATATATGTAGAGTTTAACGTTGTGGTATTTAACCGTGTTGAATTTAAAGAAATTAATTTTTCACTACAAAATAAATTTGTGTAGAGTTTAACATTGTACACATTAAGTGTGTAGAATTTAAAAAATAAATTGTATAAGGTTTAACGGTGTGCAATTTAACTGTGTAGAGTTTGACGTGTAGGGTTTTAACGATGTAGAATTTAATTGTGTAGTATTTGAACCGCCCCATTTTTGATAAAGTCAATGTTCGATGATTTTTTATAATCTTTGAAATTACAAAAAATTAGTTTTGCTAAATATTTTTTTGTATTTTCTATAAATATTTCGTTGCAAATTAAAATTTTAAATTTATGTTTATTTTCAAAAAATTTAATTAATTGATAATTAATAAATATTAAAAAATTATGTAATCAAAAAGAAAATTAAATTAACTGAAAATTATTAATTATATTTTAAAAAGTATTAAGCAATTAAAAAATATTTAAAAATTTTTAAAAAATAAAACAAAAGATAATATAAACATAATTATAATCATAAAGTAATAAAATATAATGTAATTTACATTATATTTTATTAATATGTAATTAATTGATAAATAGTTTAAAAAATATTAAACTATGTTTAATATTTTTTGAACCATGTTTGAATAAAATTGCAATAATAGAAAATTTAAAGAGATGAACTTTAGTTCAATCGTGAAAACAAAAATTAAACAAAAATTAGGTTAAATTTATCTAATTTTTAAAGTTTAATAAAAAAGTAACTAGTATAGAGTGCCCACAAAAATTCAAAATAAAACGGACTTACAGTAATAGTAGTAATTAAATTCAAAAGGATTTTTTTAATTTCCATTTTTTTCCACAGAAGATATGCATAAAAGAAAAAGGCATACATAACACTTTACAAGATCGAAAAAATACCGATTTAACTATTTTGGTGAGTAATTTCAAGTTAATTAACGTCAATTCTAATGAATTTAGTAAATATATACTTAAAATAATAAAAAGAAATTAATTTTTTTCATTTTACAATAACTTTTAGTGAGTTGTTGTAAAATGGGTTATGTTTGCAGCGTAATCTGTTATATTTTTAAAAAAATTATTTAAAAAAAAGTAAAACACTTTCGATGATAAAAATCTCCAAAAAGGAATGAAATTGTATTCAATAACATTATATTTTAATTCCAGCGATTTTAGAAATTATCAAGCAACCGGCTCAAGTTGAATTTCACTGGAATGACCCTAATAATTAATTAATTAAAATAATTTTTATTCTACTTGGAACGATTTATTAATCTCGGGTAATAAATGTTTTCCATTTAATAAAAGAAATGAATATAGATAAATTACCGTCTCTATTTGTGAAAGTTTTTCGCGTAATTTCGCTCTTATATTTTGTATTTTATATTTATAGGATTAAAAAAAATATTTATCGAGTTTGCAGTAACACGCCTTTAAAATTATTTGTATACAATTGTCTCGATATTGCAAAATATTAAAAAAAAAAATTCTTTTATATAAAATCTAGAGTATGCAGTTTTTGAATTGAAATATATACTTTCACTTATAGATAATAAATGATAAGTAAATAATAAAAAAAATAAATAAAGAAAAAAAGGAAGAAAATTTTTTTTTTTTTGTAATGTAATAAAAGACTAATTAATAAATGTTGATTATAGATGAACATTTGTTTTAGCAGATGTGCATGTTGATTTGTATATCACTCTTGACACGTGTAATCTACTTTGGCACATTTGCAGTGTTTTGAAGTTAATCTAGACTGCGTATTCGAACATCCCACGTTCACGTGTTTTTAACCATCCACGCGAATATACTTGACTTATCACTTATCATTAAATGTATTATAACGCGAGTTCTCCCACGTTGTCGTCAACCTTGTCCATTATTAGAGAAATTTTTTTCTTTGGTACAAAATTGAACCAAAATATAATTGCGTTACATTATTTTTGCATGACAAAAATTGAAAATTTATTTTATAATCGAGTAAATTTTCCTAGAAATTATAAATTTGTCGTCAAGCTGGAAAAATTAGAAAAGAAAAAATTTTTTTTATTAATCTTTCCTTTTCGATTAATAATTTTGAAATTAAAAAATTAGTAAATGTCTGCAATTTTCATTGCATTTCATTAATTATCAATTTAAGAATAAATACTTTTTAATTGTAATTGCAAATAGACCTTGTTTTTGAACATCATCATAATGATGTAGTATTAGTCATTGACTTTTAATGATTTACATTATTCGTCACTTGCATAATTGCCACTATATATACTCAAATATGCAAATTCTCCTAGACTTAATAGACATTTAAACAAAGAACAGTAACACTTATTTGCAAAGTGATACGCAATGTAATTTGAATTTTTTTTTTTTTTTTATAAAACAAAATTTACTACTACAAAGTATTGCAAAACTGCTTAGAATTTGTATATAATTTATGTATAGAGAATATTATTAATTTAATTTTATTAATTCTTCCTTTTTTTCTTTAAATTTTATTTAAAAAATTCATTTTTAGGTTTTGTCAAAATAACTGAAATTTTAGTAATTTTAATGTTTTTAATAAAACTTGACTAATTCAATTAGTCAATTTTGACTATTTTTTCCACTGAAAATTAGTTATTATAATTTTTACTATAATAATTAGTCATTTTTTACTAAAATTGCAGAAGTAAAAAATCAGCTAAGATTTTCCAAACTAGTTATTTTTTTTTTATTAATTCGGAGTTAGAGAGTAAAATTTATCAATATAATAAAAAAGATGTGATTTTCTTTTTTATATTGCATATTACACGATTTTTTTCAAATTTTTTCATCAAGCCCTTTAGGAGATATCAATTTTTGAAAAATTACGTCACTTTTTTTTGAAATGCTTGTTATTTCGCTAAAAATTGACCAAACTGGATCAGTCTTATATCAAAATTTTTGTTTTTAAACGTACTTTCCAAAAAAAATATTGAAAGTAATTTTCGAAAAGAATTTCTATTAGATTTTTGAGATTTAAGATTAATAATTCATTTTTGCACCTGTGTGTATCGATCGATTTTTTTCAAAATTTTTTTACAAAAACTGCTCTAAATTTGACAAATTTTGAGCCTAGTCCGATAATGGGAAAACGATGGGAACTATTTTTTTCGAATTTTCAAATTTCACGTTTTTAATTATCTGTATGGAAATCAAACAATAATCATTTTCTCTCATTCAAACCCAACGATTATTGTTAGTTTTATAAAAGAAAATAGTTTAGAAAATAAATAATAAAGTAATATTTTAATTATTTATCTAAAATTTTGTTTTATTTGTAGAAGTTATTAAGCAATTTAAAACGAATGATTTTCAAAATAATACCAGATAACTCGATAATTAATAAATATGAATGAAATCTCTAATCACAAATTAAGAATTAAAAAATAAATTTGCAGTAGAGACAAAATATGAGAAAGCAAAGAGAATAGATGGAACGCAAAAATTTCATTGTGTGATTCCAGAAGAAAATGGCAATTTAAGATTTAATTCATTCTGCTCGATGAAAAAACTTTATTGAGCATGTTTAATACTTTTTTTGTTTATATCTTTTTCCTTTAATCAATGTAAAATAATTAATCTCTAGGTGTCAAATAATTACACATTATTAATTATATATATATATATATAGTAAAATAGTTCTTAGAATAATTTTAAATACTTTTTAACGTGAATAATTAAAAACGTGAAATTTGAAAATTCGAAAAAAATAGTTCCCATCGTTTTCCCATTATCGGACTAGGCTCAAAATTCGTCAAATTTAGAGCAGTTTTTGTAAAAAAATTTTGAAAAAAATCGATCGATACACACAGGTGCAAAAATGAATTTTTAATCTTAAATCTCAAAAATCTAATAGAAATTTTTTTCGAAAATTACTTTCAATATTTTTTTTTGGAAAGTACGTTTAAAAACAAAAATTTTGATATAAGATTGATCCAGTTTGGTCAATTTTTAGCGAAATTACAAGCATTTCAAAAAAAAGTGACGTAATTTTTCAAAAATTGATATCTCCTAAAGTGCTTGATGAAAAAATTTGAAAAAAATCGTGAAAGCTAGTCTTCATGAGTACTAAAAGGAAAAAAATTTTCAAAAAGATCTGAGGTGCAAAAGCCAAATGGTCTCCGATTTGGTATGGAATACCTCATATATAATTTTAATTTTTTAAATTTTTTAATTTATCATCTTTTTACTAAGTAGATATGATTTTAAAATTCTATTAAAAAAAAAATTTGCCAAATTAAAAATGCTATTGAGTAAAAGATCGTTTAAAAAGAAATTATGTTAAATACTATATTGAAAAATGAAAATTCATGTAAAAAATAATTATATATAAATCAGTAGTTCACGCGACCAATAATAAATCATCAACTTGGCGAGCTTCTACGAATCAAAAAAATTTGCTAAAATTTAAAATTCTTGAATTCTGTCATTTAAAAATTTTTTTTTTTTTTGAAAAAAGTAGCATTTAGTTGCTTTTGGTCAAAATTAGTAGTAAAAAAGTAGCCTTGTTGAAAAAAATTATCAAAAAAGTAAAAAAATGTGGCACTTCAAAGCCTGTTTTTGAGATATTTTCAAGTTTCCATACTTTTTGAACACCCTGTATAATAATTATTATTAATTATTAAATTATTATTATTAATTTTTTTCAGTGATATTCGATGAGAGAGGAATAAATAAGAAAAACCAAAATTTATACGAAAGTATATAAGATTTAATTTTTTTTTTTCCTCGAAATAGATACAAAAATGAAAAATAGGATTAAAGTCTTATAATCTCCATGGGAGTTAAAATGTCGTTATTTGAAACAAAAAAAATTAAATTATTTTAATGATGTCCTAATTTTTCATATTAGGCATATAAAGATAATATATACAGACTCTATTTTTCGTTTAGAGTTTCACAATAAATATTATTTCTTTTTCTTCCATTTTTTTTTTTTTTATATATATAAAAACATTATGCAGATCACAGACACACTTAGGTACTCGTTTTAGTTGCACGATCACTGTAGAGATCTTCTTATTTTCATAAGTCGCGCATTATTATTGTTTTCATAAGTACTCTCTCATGAAAAAAATTTTCAAAAACAGAAATTGCTGCTAATTTTCGACTAGAAAATATTGATCGGAAGCGCAGTTGAAAAATGACGTCTTTTCTGTGACGTTTTTGTTTCATCAGGACAAAAGAAACCTCAAACACTGGCCATTATTAATTTTTCCTAATTTTAAAAACTAGGAAAAATTAAGATATAAATGCAAAATCAGGTCTAGTTTGAATTTATCATCTTCTCACTAGATATTTCCCTTCTTTTTGGTCCCTTTTTATTATTTATCTTTTATTTCACAATTATTGTGTGAATTCAGACTTTTTTCAACCAAATTTTTTGTACTCAGAGTTTTAATTTTTTTTTTTGTTCAAGTCATTAGCTGTTGAATTCTTGGCGCTAAAACTGGAAGAAGACTAACTCTCAGTGGACTAGGCACGACTTTGGGAATATTTGTTGTTGATGATGATGATGATGGTGATGATAATATGGAATTTCTATCCCTGGAATGACGTTTAACATGTTTTGCAAGATGATCACTTCTCATGAATCGTCGTTGACAAACGAGACATGCGAATTTTTTTTCGCCAGTGTGTGTTCGTTTATGTCGTGAGAGTTCATCACTACGTGAAAATCTTCGTCCACAATCCTCATAGGGACAGGGAAATGGTCTTTCGCCTGTATGTGTACGTGTGTGTGCCTTTAAATGTGAGGATTTAAAATAATTTTTCTCACAGCCAGGATGTTCACATTCGTAAACTCGTCGACGAGCTAATGTTTGTGCCTCTGTAATTGATGTTGTATTTGTGGTTGTTGTTGTTGAATTGGATGCTGTCACTAGTAGAAGAGGTGTTCTTGGTAAAACAATAGATGAACTTAAAAGTCCCGCTACCATTGTAATTGGAGCTGGTTTTGGTGCCAAGGGCTGTAATTTTGGTTGAATGCATTCGCGATCAGTATTTTTATTGTTGACAATAATTTCTTCTTTTCGCAGGCTCATCTTGAATTTGAGACTCTTGAGAATATTTTCCGGCTGAATTGGCGATGATTTTGGAATTGGAAGACTTGTTACTTTTTCCCGCTGAGGAATTATGGGAGCCAATATATTTGCTGGAGTACATGTTCCGTCACGATTTGCTCGCATTATCACCGATGCTCGTGGTGGTTCTGGACTTGCAGGCGGTGTCCCATCCAATAGAAGCTGTAAAAAAAAATTTATTTACTATTGACACGAGGTAATATATAATAAATTATTATTTAAATTTAAAAAAATTTTAATTTACCTCAAGTTCTGAACGTTCAAATAAACGAATTAATTCTCGTCTTTAAATTTTTAGAAAAATATGAAATCAATAAAAAAAGTACAATAATAATAATAATTTTACATTATTAAATACTTAATATTAATTTATTTTTAGAGTCAGAAGAAAATATTTTTTTTAATAAAAATTGAAGTTTTGAAGGAAAGAAATTTTTTGTTCATTTGAACGTTTAGAATTTTAGGAACAATGATTTTGATAAGAAGAGTTTATAAATCTTTTTCTAAACTAAAAAAAAAGGATTTCATAAATTATTTTTGAAAACAAAATTTAAAAAAAATATATTTTTTAAAAGTTATTGGTACTTTATAACAAAAAATGATAATTTAGTTGATCACCATTTTAAGTAGTAAAGAGTCGTTTAGAAAAGACTGCGCGCTTAGTAGTAATAATTGTCTTTGGTCAGACAAGTAAATTTTACTTCACTTTCAAAAACAATGAAACTAAAGTATATTCCTTACGTCATTTGTTATATTTAATTTTTCTTTTTTAGTAAAATAAATAATTTAGTTGTAAATAGATAATTTTTGGATAAAAATAAAAAAGAATTTCTTACTGAATTTTTTATATTAAAATTTATTTTTTTTGTTAGTAAAATAAGTAATTTCGTTAAAAATAGATAATTTTTGGTTAAAAATAAAAAAAATGTTCTTTTGTCTCTGTTACCTTTGCTAATTCGCATTGTTCTAGACATCGTTTTTTCCGTGGCAATTCGTCTTCTTCAGAGTCAGACGTTTGCGGCGTTGGAGGTAATACAAGATGATTATTTCCATCTTCGGTTCGCTTCAGGTTTTCTTCATTAAACCCTCTCTTGCCGATGACTTTCTCTCCTAATATTGCGGCAACACTGAATGTCGACTGCAATGGTTCAACCTACATTAAAAAAAAAGAAGGTGTTTTTTGTTATTTAATTATTTTTGAATTACAGATAGACGAATTTGATATCAGTTTAGTATTGAATAATATACTTTTTTCAATTTAAATGTTTCTGAATTTAGGTGTGAAAAGAAGTATCGAATGTTTTGCAACTGAGAGATTACTTTTTTCCACTATTAAAAATCGTTAATGAAGTTCACAATATAATTGAAAAACATTTTTTTTTTTTCATTTAAAAAATTATAGGTAACTAATTTTTAGCTTTCTTTATGCCTAACAAATGGAAAAAATGTATTTTTTACTTAAAAAATATGACTAATTGCCTACAAATTTTTGATGCAGAAACGTTGCAAAAAATATTAATTTGAAGCAAAAAATATTTTCTTTTCTAAATCGTTGATCATAAACGTTGTGAACTTCATCGACGTATACTAAAAAGTGGTTTTCATTGAACAAAGGAGCTATTTTGGAAAAAGATCTTGAATCTTTGAATTTACACACACTTAATATATCTTTACAATCTTTTTACACTATAAAAAAAGGGGTTTTGTTTGAACAAAGGAGCTATTAAAAAAAAACTAGAAACTTTTTTCCGTTGGGTGAAAATGGAAAAAATCTTTATAAATTGCTAAATAATGATCATATAAAAATTTGTGAAATTAGTGCAATTAAATAGTAGAAAATTGGTAAATTTAAAATTAAAATTTTTTTTTAATTATTTAAAGAAATATTTAGAAGTACCTATAAAATTATATTAATTGAAAATTTATTAAGAAAAGAAATTTAATTATATTAAAATTTAAATGTTACTAAAAAAATAAAATAAAAAATACTATATACCTAAAAAATTGTAATTTTTAAGTTATATATTTTAGAAAAATTATCAAAAATGTAGAAAAAATAGATTTATTCAAAATTTCATTCTTTATATTATATTTCTTTTAGAATATTTTTTCTTTAAAATTATTTTTTTTTTTATTCATTTTTCAAGTTTGTGATAAAAAAAATTTTTTTTTATTTTTAGATCATTTTGGCATTTTATTAAGTTATTCATTAAAAAACGGGGAACATTAATTGAAAATGTTTTTTTTCCGCAATTTAATTTACATAAATTGACGCACTAACTTGAATACTCAAAGAAGACGCTGACCATCATAATAATTTTGGTACTCTTGAATGAGTGAAAGATTAGAAATTGAGGAAGATCATGGTTTTTGCAAAGAGTGAAGGAACCGGTTACATATATATATATATAAATAATCTCTGAATTTGCAAAGCCAGAAATAAATGAACCACGTAAGAAGTTCTTTGAACCGTTTTTTTTTTTTTACAATTTTTATTGAGTAAACAGTTTCATCAAGACCATGTATGCATTTTAATATGGGGCGGAGCGTTAAATATTTGTATTTCGCGGGCATGTGTGTGGCGGTAAGTTTAATTTGGAGACAAAAATTTATTGCACACACTTACGTGAATTTGTTTTAATTGAGGTGATGCCGGAGGCGATAGAATTATAGCTGATGATTCCATTTCACATGCACCAAAAAAAAAAAAGAAGAGTAATTTGAAAACACTTTGATTAAAGTTACATTCAATGTTGAGTTATATTATAACACGAGAACTCAAGGTATATTGAAGATCAAGAAACGTACTCAACGAAGAACTGAAAGAGCAATGAAGCTTTCTCGCAGTGTACTATGTGGTGTTGTCTCGGGTGTGTGTGTGTGTGAGTAATCATGCAGCGTGCGATCGATTGACGAATCAGACAGAGGGGCTCGGCTCTGTGAGCCAATTGAAAGTTAGCTGTCAGTTGGTCACTGCGTGATCACTAGCGTGCTGTTCACGTGCTCGTAGACTGACTAAGGTCGTGATCGTGACGTCACACTGCGTGGTGACCGGTCGATACGTCATGCCGTCATGGTGTGTTGTGGTAGCGTCATACTAACATCTTTGCCTCCGACCTTCTCTTCATCAAAGCCTCTTCTTGTTTACTCTACTTCCCCGTTTTCGCTTCTATTTTTTTCTTCTTCTTCTTATTTTCTCTTCGCTCTGCGAAAAATATACCGCGAAATGTATATACATATATATATAAATATATGTTTATGTATTTGACGAGCCTCCGAATCTTTGTTTTCTATAAAAAAAAAAAATGTGCACTTCTTTTGCGCTCGCTGACCTCTTCCACTATATTTGTCTTTTCTTTTATGATTCACAATGATACTTGCAAAAAACAAAAATCAGAAAGAAATTTTTGAATATTTTCAATCAATTATAGAATTTGAAAAAAAATGTTATTTCTTTTCTAAGTTTGGAAAAAGTTTAAATATAGGACGGAGAAAATACTTGTTTTTAGTAAAAAAAAAATAGCTTTTATCAAAGATTTTTTCTTCTTGTAGATAATAACGCAAATACTGTCTGGTTCGTCATAGTGATTAATTTCAAAATATTTACAGGGTTGACATTTTCATTTGCAAACTTTAAACGTCAGAGGTTTTTACACTGTGTCATATTGATATAATAAAAGCAAACAGTAGTTATGCACGTTTATTAAAAAAAAAAAGAAAGAAAAATTCTTATCTTTATATAAATCTACAGCAAGATAAAACTATTAAAGTCCCTCTTATAAACTCAACACAATAAACCTACTTTTAATCAGAAAGTTTATAAAATAAATAATAGAAAGACAATTTCTTATTGAAAGATTTATTCGCACCTCTATATGAATTTAGTTATAGAAATAACTAGTTAGTAAAATTTTGCTTGACATTTTAGTCAATTTGTATAAAAAATAATTAATTATTAGAAAAAGTAACTAATTTTTAATGAAACAAAAAAATTACTGAAAAAATTGTTAAAAATTACAAATCCGGTGTGAGTTTTTTAAAATTCAAAATAGCGGACGAATTTTTAAAAATTCAAGGAATTCACTTGAAATTCGTTCCTTGGGGGGGTTTTGGAATTGCTGATTACAAATCTGGTGTCAGCGACCTCAAAAAAACGACCGAGTAACAAGTTTCAAGTGAATTCGATGAATTTCAAAAAAAATTCGTTCGCCATATTGGATCTGCCATTTTGAATTTTGAAAAACTAACACCGGATTTGTAACCGCAATTTTTTTTGGGGTCGTCAACACCAGATTCGTAATCATATGAATCTCAAATAAAAATCCCCGAATAATGAATTTTTAAAGTGAATTACTTTAATTTTTAAAAAATTTACCCGCCCCCACAGCATCGAAACTTTTCTAAAGATTTCCTAAAGATTTATTTGAAATGTTCGAAATATTTAATTGCAATGTTTAGTGAAAATTGTGTAAAGATTTAAATGTCCCACTTGAATAAATGTTTAAGACGTAACTTTCCTAAACATTTATAAATGAAATTTTCGCCTAATTATAATTATAATTATAATTATAATTATAATTAGGCGAAAATTTCATTGAAATGTTTAGGAAAGTTTCACAAAGTTTTACACCAAACATTTATTGAATCGGGACATTTAAATCTTTACACAATTTTCATTAAACATTGCAATTAAATATTCTGAATATTTTAAATAAATCTTTAGAAAATCTTTAGGAATGTTTCGGTGCTGTGAAGGCGACTAACTATATCATTTAAAATTTTTAAAAACTAAAATCAAATTCGTATAATTAACGACTCCAAAAACCCCCGAGGAACGAATTTCAAAAGAATCTTATGTTTTTTGATTAGGAGAATGTTGTATTTTGATAATGGACCACAAAAAAATTACAAAATGGTGAATATTTAGAAAATTTGACCCAATTTTGAAAAACAACTAATGCCATTGAATTTAGCGTAACTAAATTATATATTTTTGTTTTATATAAATATTTTTTAGTTGTTTTCACATAAATTTTAAAAGAATTTAATTTTTTTTTAGATTCATTCAAAGATGTTCTCTATAATTTTCTTTTTGGATTCTCTCTTACATTTCTAGTGTGATCCAGGAATGTGTAAAATTCGTTTTTGCGTTTGTAAAATTGGTGAGTTTTTCATTTTTATTCTCCTTATATATTTTTGTAAAAGATTTTTTATTCATTTCCTTTACTTGTTCCAAAGAAATGTTTTATTTGAACCAAATATAATATATTTGTGTTAAATAAACATATATTTTTCTCGCAGCCTACTAGCCTATTTATTTGGCGTAAATAAAATTTTTTTATTTAAATGAAAAAATAATTTATTTAAATCAAATAAAAATTTATTTTGAATTGAATATAAATATTTATTAGGCTGTGAGACAAATATATCATTTCTCTGGGTGTAAAATTATAAAAAAATATATTTTTCATTTTACGCACCCAGAGATAAATCTTATATTTGTGTTTAATTGAGAAAAATTAAATTTATTCGAATCAAAATACAAAAATATATTTGTCTCAGAGTCTAATAATTTTTTATTTTTTTTTTAAATTTAATTATAAGCACAAGTAAAACTTTATTTAGCGGAAATAAAATTTTTATTTCAATCAATTAAAATTTAATTCAATTAAAATTTATTTCAACTAAATAAAATTTATTTCAATCAAATAAAATTTATTTGAAACAAATAAATATTTATTAGCCTCCGAGACAAATATTTCTTTTTTCTAAGTGATAGAATAAATTCTGAAAAAGAAGTAGGTTATATTCTGAAACGTTAAAAAATAATTATGGTATTTATTTATTTTTGTAATTAATAAAAAAATCAAATTGTCCTTGATGATCAAAAAACTGATTTTTTATATTCGAATTATTTTTTAATTAAAAAATTTTTCTACGATTTCAGACAACTGGTTATTCTCTCTTGATCTGATGTATATATATAAGGATGCAGGTAGTTCACCGCGTGCATCGCTATGACACAATATTTAATGGTAAGTTATATTATACCGTTACATTATGCATGTATATACATATATAATTGAGTATTGACTTCTCTTTGACTCTGTTTATGCACCCGTGTACGATTATCGTGAGGCTATTCGCGAGTATAAGTCCGAGAATAGCTTGACTCATTGATAATAACTCAATAGCGATAGAAAGTCTATTTTAGGAATATATTCACCTCCTCTTGTTTAGAAGAACAGGAAAATAATTTTTATAAAATTTAAAAATATATATACTCACTATAAGATTTACTAAAAACAAGTTTAAATTTTACAAAACGGTTATTTACAATCAAATTAACATGTGGGTATACGCTATTAATTACGTAACTAAAAAAAAACTTGTTTTCGATGTTTCCTTATACAATTTAAATTCACTAACACATTTTTGTTTCACACACGTGTGAAATAGAATTTGAGGAATACCTTTTTTCCAATATATATATATATATATATAAAGAAAAAATTGTCGCGGTTTTTGAAAAATTTTGAATTTTACACCCAGAGAATTTTTTTATTTGCGTTTATTTGAGAGAAATAAAATTTATTTGAATGAAATAAAAATGTATTTGTTTCAGAGACTAATAACTTTTTATTTATATTTCAAATAAAAAATTTAATTTAGCGCAAATAACATTTTATTTTAGTGTAAATAAAATTTTTATTCAAATTAAATATAATTTATTTTAAAAAAATATTTATTTGGCTCTAAGAAAAATATATTTTTTCTCTATGTGTATTGTGGGGTGAATATAAAATTTTATATTCTAAAAAAAAACGTTTAATAAAAAATTTGAAAAATTTCGGAATTTTTTTTCAAGTTATTATTAGATTTTATTTTATGAAACAAAATTTATATATGGTTCACGTGTTAAAAATATGTGGATAATTGTGGATAAATTGAATTGATAATCAAATCAGGCAAGAGACTCGTGATCGCCGGTTATATAGCCATGAGCTCTTGTTGAAATCATTATATTCATTATCAACTTCCTTTTCGTGTATATGCTCTTGGATTTCAAAACATTCTTAATGAAAAGTGTGGATTAAGTAAAATTCTAAAAAATTGTTTTAAAAAAATACAACAATAATACGTTTGTTTTTCAAAATAAGTAATATTATTATTATTATTTTTTTTTTAAATTAAATTTTATAGTGAATTTTGTTTATAAATACATTTGTTGTGCATCCATAATATAGTTTTTTTAAAACTATATATTAATTTACAATTAATTTTTAATTATTTTAACATTAATTTTTTACTATTTATTTATTTTCATTTTTGTGCTAAATTAAATTTTTTATAAAACAAATAAATGTAAATGAAATATTTATGTAAAAAGTTATTTGAGTCAATTAAGTGTTTAAAATAGAGAAATTATTGGTTCAAATACAATTTATTAATTTCAAAATAAAAAATATTTGGTTCAAGTAAATATTTATTTAATAATATACAAGCAACCGATTTTTGAATCAAATAGGTTTTTTTAGTGTAGATATTAATTACAGTAAAACTATGAATAATACCTATAAAACGGTTTCTTTTTTACTTCCTATGTACATCTTACTGCATTTTAAAATTTATTTTTAAGTGTAGAGAAAGTAATTTATAATAATTTTAATTTTTTAATATTATTTTTTTGGGATATATTAAAGAACTCGCAATGTTTTATATATAAATACATATAATATGGGGTCTAAAATTTTCCACTAATCTCAAACAAGCGCAGGCTAATCACGTTGAATACACGTGGTTTAAAACGTTTTTGAAATCTAATTATCTGAATAGATATAGGATATTACATTAACAAAAATAATTTTTTAATTATTAAAAGTTGTAAAACTATATAAAAAAAAATAATAAAATAAGATTCCACAATAAAAATAATAATGATTATTTATTTATTTATTTAATATTCTTTTAGTAATTTAAACTTTATAAACGCTAAATTAATATTAAATTATAGTCAAAAGTATTATTTTTAATTCAATAAACATTATAATAAAATAAATAAATAATAATAATAAATTTCTTCAGAAAGTTTTATGCGAAAAATGTAAATACAAAATAAAAATATGGTTATTAAATTTTTATTAAAAAATTAAATTTTTTTTTTAAATTATTATATTAAAATAATTTATTTATGAAAAAACGACAATTACCCTTTAATGCAATATTAAAATACAATTTACAATATTACATATTACAAAGTATTTACATAAAAAAAAGATATTCAATTAGTAACAGCTGTTACAAGTATTACAACATCGCATTGTTATTAATTTTTTTTTTAATTATAAAATATTGATAATAAAATTCGATTCAGCAATAAAAAATAACATAAATAATTATGAAAATATATAATTTAGATAAAATAATATAATATATTCATAATAAATAATTATCATAATTATTAAAATTAAATAATGATTCATTAAACAATTTTATAATTTTCAAATTGAATTTCTAATATTACAGAAATTTCTTTATCGACGAATTTTATTAAAGTAGGTAACTATCAAAATGCGCCAAAGGCAGTTTGCGCCAAACGGCGTTTGACCCAATATGCTATAGTTAGTGTCATTCTCGATGGTGAATGAGAAATCTGTAAAAATGATAAAAGTGAAGGTCTGAGAAGCCCGCGAGATGTCTATAGTATCACAGTTTGTGTATTATTACAAATAGACATTGGCGTGGAGATTTAGGGAATGCAGAAAATAAAGTGAAATAGTTTTCTTCGCGGAATTAGTGAACGTGATGTTTTTATAAATAAGTAAATTGCTTATTTGATTAATTAATCAATTAATATTATGAATTAATTAATGAATTAATTAATTAATATTATCAATTGATGGAATAATTAATTAATTAACATTATTGATATTATCAATTGATTGATTAATTAATTAATTAATTAATTAATATTATCAATCAATTAATTAATTAATTAACAGTGACTGGAAGAAATAACGAGTAGTAAAATTATGGATACCAATATTGAGGTTAGTTTAAATTTTATTTTCAATGCAAATAATAATAATTTTGCGATTGCATAAAAATTTATTTTTTTCAGCGATCTCATGTAATGAATTTTCATCTAATTACATCAATTTAAACGCATGTAAAATTCACTGCGAAAGTCTACTCAACTGTAAATTGGTTTTCATTAAGAAAATATTTTTACAACAAACATAGATTAAGTTGATAATAATAATAATTTCAAATTTCTTATAAATTATGATGGCATTTTTTACTTTTGGAAATAAAATTTTTATCCTATTCTCCAACTATGCTGATTAAAATAATTCTATTCCTTGCTTGATAGTCACCAGGGTTATCACAGTTATTGTTAACATGAACCTAATTGTTGTTCGATTTAGTAAACAATAATTTTGCGATAGCATAAAAAATTATTTTTTTCACCGATCTCATGTAATGAATTTTCATCTAATTACATCAATTTAAACGTATGTAAATTTCACTGCGATAGTTTACTTAACTGTGAATTGGTTTTCACTTAGAAAATATTTTTACAACAAACATAGAATAAGTTGATAATAATAATAATTTCAAATTCCTTATCAATTATGTTGGCATTTTTTACTTTTAGAAATAAAATTTTTATCCTATTCTCCAACTATGCTAATTAAAAAAATTCTATTCCTAGCATAATAGACGCCAGAGTTATTATTGTTATTGTGAACATGGGCCTCATTGTTGTTCGATTTCGTAAACAATTATTTTTCGATTGGCTAAAAATTTATTTTTTTCACCGATCTCATGTAATGAATTTTCATCTAATTACATCAATTTAAACGCATGTAAAATGGTAAATAAAATATCAAACTGCGAAGGTTTACTCAACTGTAAATTGAATTTTATTAAGAAAATATTTTTACAATAAACATGGAATAAGTTAACAATGATTAGACACCTTCTAAATCATATTGGCATTTTTCATTTTTGAAAATAAAATATTCATTCTATTCTAAAACCATACTAATTAAAAAAATTCTATTCCTAGCATAATAGACGCCAGAGTTCTGATTGTTATTGTGAACATGGGCCTAATTATTGTTCGATTTAGTAAACAATAATTTTGCGATAGCATAAAAAATTATTTTTTTCACCGATCTCATGTAATGAATTTTCATCTAATTACATCAATTTAAACGTATGTAAAATGGTAAAAAAAATGTAATACTGCAAAGGTTTACTCAACTTTAAATTGGTTTTCATTTAGAAAATATTTCTACAGCAAACATAGAATAAGTTAATAATAATTTCAAATTCCTTATCAATTATGTTGGCATGTTTTACTTTTGGAAATAAAATTTTTATCCTATTCACCAACTATGCTGATTAAAATAATTCTATTCCTTGCTTGATAGTCACCAGGGTTATCACAGTTATTGTTAACATGAACCTAATTGTTGTTCGATTTAGTAAACAATTATTTTTCGATTGGGTAAAAATTTATTTTTTCAGCGATCTCATGTAATGAATTTTCATCTAATTACATCAATTTAAACGCATGTAAAATGGTAAAAAAATGTAATACTGCGAAGGTTTACTCAACTGTAAATTGAATTTTATTAAAAAAATATTTTTACAACAAACATGGAATAAGGTAACAATGATTAGACACCTTCTAAATCATATTGGCATTTTTCATTTTTGAAAATAAAATTTTTATTCTATTCTAAAACCATGCTAATTAAAAAAATTCTATTCCTAGTATAATCGACGCCAGAGTTATTATTGTTATTGTGAACATGCGCCTAATTATTGTTCGATTTAGTAAACAATAATTTTGCGATAGAATAAAAAATTATTTTTTTCACCGATCTCATGTAATGAATTTTCATCTAATTACATCAGTTTGACCGCATGTAAAATGCTAAAAAAATTTAAAACTGCAAAGGTTTACTCAACTTTAAATTGGTTTTCATTTAGAAAATATTTCTACAGCAAACATAGAATAAGTTAATAATAATTTCAAATTCCTTATCAATTATGTTGGCATTTTTTACTTTTAGAAATAAAATTTTTATCCTATTCTCCAACTATGCTAATTAAAATAATTCTATTCCTTTCTTGATAGTCACCAGGGTTATCACAGTTATTGTTAACATGAACCTAATTGTTGTTCGATTCTCGGTTCGATTTAGTAAACAATTATTTTTCGATAGCATAAAAATTTATTTTTTTCAGCGATCTCATGTAATTAATATTCATCTAATTACATCAATTTAAACGCATGTAAAATTCACTGCGAAAATCTACTCAACTGTAAATTGGTTTTCATTAAGAAAATATTTTCACAACAAACATAGAATAAGTTAACAATGATTAGACACCTTCTAAATCATATTGGCATTTTTCATTTTCAAAAATTAAATTTTTATCCTATTCTCCAACTATGCTAATTAAAATAATTCTATTCCTTGCTTGATAGTCACCAGGATTATCACAGTTATTGTTAACATGAACCTAATTGTTGTTCGATTTAGTAAACAATTATTTTTCGATTGGATAAATAATTATTTTTTTTAGCGATCTCATGTAATGAATTTTCATCTAATTAGATCAGTTTAAACGCATGTAAAATGGTAAATAAAATATCAAACTGCGAAGGTTTACTCAACTGTAAATTGAATTTTATTAAGAAAATATTTTTACAACAAACATAGAATAAGTTAACAATGATTAGACCCCTTTTAAATCATATTGGCATTTTTCATTTTTGAGAATAAAATTTTTATTCTATTCTAAAACCATGCTAATTAACAAAATTCTATTCCTAGCATAATAGACACCCTAGTTATTATTGTTATTGTGAACATGGGCCTAATTCTTGTTCGATTTAGTAAACAATTATTGTTCGATTGGAAGAAAAATAATTTTTTTCCTCGATCTCATGTAATGAATTTTCATCTAATTAGACCAGTTTAAAAGCATGTTAAAATTCAGTGCGAAGGTTTACTCAACTGTAAAAAATATGATTTAGAAGGTGTCTAATCATTGTTAACTTATTCTATATTTGTTGAGAAAATATTTTCTCAATGAAAACCAATTTACAGTTGAGTAAACCTTTTACAGTGAATTTTACATGCATTTAAACTGGTCTAATTAGATGAAAATTCATAACATGAGATCGCTGAAAAAAATCATTTTCTATCCAATCGAAAAATAATTGTTTACTAAATCGAACAACAATTAGGTTCATGTTAACAATAACTGTGATAACCCTGGTGACTATCAAGCAAGGAATAGAATTATTTTAATCAGCATAGTTGGAGAATAGGATAAAAATTTTATTTCCAAAAGTAAAAAATGCCATCATAATTTATAAGGAATTTGAAATTATTATTATTATTAACTTATTCTATGTTTGTTGTAAAAATATTTTCTAAGTGAAAACCAATTCACAGTTAAGTAAACTATCGCAGTGAAATTTACATACGTTTAAATTGATGTAATTAGATGAAAATTCATTACATGAGATCGGTGAAAAAAATAATTTTTTATGCTATCGCAAAATTATTGTTTACTAAATCGAACAATAATTAGGCCCATGTTCACAATAACAATCAGAACTCTGGCGTCTATTATGCTAGGAATAGAATTTTTTTAATTAGTATGGTTTTAGAATAGAATGAATATTTTATTTTCAAAAATGAAAAATGCCAATATGATTTAGAAGGTGTCTAATCATTGTTAACTTATTCCATGTTTATTGTAAAAATATTTTCTTAATAAAATTCAATTTACAGTTGAGTAAACCTTCGCAGTTTGATATTTTATTTACCATTTTACATGCGTTTAAATTGATGTAATTAGATGAAAATTCATTACATGAGATCGGTGAAAAAAATAAATTTTTAGCCAATCGAAAAATAATTGTTTACGAAATCGAACAACAATGAGGCCCATGTTCACAATAACAATAATAACTCTGGCGTCTATTATGCTAGGAATAGAATTTTTTTAATTAGCATAGTTGGAGAATAGGATAAAAATTTTATTTCTAAAAGTAAAAAATGCCAACATAATTGATAAGGAATTTGAAATTATTATTATTATCAACTTATTCTATGTTTGTTGTAAAAATATTTTCTAAGTGAAAACCAATTCACAGTTAAGTAAACTATCGCAGTGAAATTTACATACGTTTAAATTGATGTAATTAGATGAAAATTCATTACATGAGATCGGTGAAAAAAATAATTTTTTATGCTATCGCAAAATTATTGTTTACTAAATCGAACAACAATTAGGTTCATGTTAACAATAACTGTGATAACCCTGGTGACTATCAAGCAAGGAATAGAATTATTTTAATCAGCATAGTTGGAGAATAGGATAAAAATTTTATTTCCAAAAGTAAAAAATGCCATCATAATTTATAAGAAATTTGAAATTATTATTATTATCAACTTAATCTATGTTTGTTGTAAAAATATTTTCTTAATGAAAACCAATTTACAGTTGAGTAGACTTTCGCAGTGAATTTTACATGCGTTTAAATTGATGTAATTAGATGAAAATTCATTACATGAGATCGCTGAAAAAAATAAATTTTTATGCAATCGCAAAATTATTATTATTTGCATTGAAAATAAAATTTAAACTAACCTCAATATTGGTATCCATAATTTTACTACTCGTTATTTCTTCCAGTCACTGTTAATTAATTAATTAATTGATTGATAATATTAATTAATTAATTAATTAATTAATCAATCAATTGATAATATCAATAATGTTAATTAATTAATTATTCCATCAATTGATAATATTAATTAATTAATTCATTAATTAATTCATAATATTAATTGATTAATTAATCAAATAAGCAATTTACTTATTTATAAAAACATCACGTTCACTAATTCCGCGAAGAAAACTATTTCACTTTATTTTCTGCATTCCCTAAATCTCCACGCCAATGTCTATTTGTAATAATACACAAACTGTGATACTATAGACATCTCGCGGGCTTCTCAGACCTTCACTTTTATCATTTTTACAGATTTCTCATTCACCATCGAGAATGACACTAACTATAGCATATTGGGTCAAACGCCGTTTGGCGCAAACTGCCTTTGGCGCATTTTGATAGTTACCGTACTTCATTTACCATCCATAGTGAAATTAGTAAATCTATTATATTCTAAAAAAAAAAAATTTTTTGTACTGAAAAGAAAAAAAAGTTATATATTTAAATTATTTTCC